CTGTAACAGAAACTGATGATATAAAACATGCTAAATATGCCAAACCCAGGTTTCAGACAAGTCAGCCTGTAACAACATTATTTTCTATTTGAACACTGCACAGAAGTGTGCTCAGCTTTATTTATGCTCTTCTTGATAGTAATAGCCAGAAACCCCATTTCACTTTTCAAGGATGAATGCAAAGACTGTTTTGTCATTAAACAGTATGAAATCCATATTGCTTTACTTTCCAGTTAGGCAGAATACAGGTATTCAAATTGTATTTGAGAATTGAAGTTTCTTTTTTTTTTTGTAGGAAAAATATCACTCTTCTTATTAAATAATACTGATTATCATAAGGTTGGGGGAGGAGAAAGGAAAAATAAATTTATGACCCTCATTATTTTTTGTCTCTTACTTAAGTCTTTACAACCCTAATTCAGTCAATCAAGAATTTCATAAAAAGAAAGCATAAATGACAACAAAAAAAAAAAAAAGAAAACAAAAAAATACACACAAAATTCATTGATTAGATAAAATAGAAAAGCTGTAGGCAGGATTTCAGACTGTGATAAAAATGTCTACAGGCAGAACTTACATGGATTCCTTTATGGGTAAACCATACTGGAGTATATTAAGGAAAAGAAAGTAAATAGAAAAGATAGTAGAGGCAACTCTACATGGTTTTCCTAGAACACCATTGTGGTGAAGCCAAAGGGTCAGATTCCAACATCTAACACACAGCGCGTATTGCCACACAAGTCTAAAAACATCTGCCGACACTCGTAAATTGCCACATGTTTGGATTTCCAACAAGATCTCACAACAAGCTGTGTTACTGCAAGTCATTATTTCCTTTGGGGGAAAATTGTCTCTAGTGATGTTAAAACTCATGGCAGGATGTACTATAGTGTCAGGATAGCTCACCGGGGAGCATTCCTGCCTCTAGGCCAAGAACTTGCATATAAATTCCGCACCTGGATAGGGACTGGGGAGAATGGGACTAAAAAATAAGATCCAAAAGAGTCAGTAGCTGTGGACAGTGACATACTGACAAATCCTGGGAGAGAAGGTAGACAACCTCCAATTGCTTAGACATTTCAGAGCTCTGCAGTGTGGCAAGTGCATCTGAGAGATGCTTATGCCAGCACTTGCCTTTTCAAAGGTGTATACACTAAGCTAGAATGAGCTTTAGGGATTTTCCCACCACTCATGTTAATCAGCTAATCTGTGTTCTTATATCACAAACTAAAGAACTGCATCCAATATTTTACTATAAATATGTGGCATGTACTTCTTGGGTTTTTCTGGAATAGGGAATCACAAGAAAATGATCAGAAGCACTGAGTCAGCTTGCTGATTGTCTGATGTTCTCAAACCAGTTCACAAGATCTCAGAAGTTCTTAGATACTTTATATTTTATGATGTCACACAAAAATATGTGTTCCTCCTATATGAAGAAAAAATCAGTAGAAGATATTGATCTGGAATGGCTTTAAACATTAACCACCTACACAAGGTGGAACTTGTTAAGGTTAAACTTGACTGTTTTGTCTGTGCTACTATGTTGAAAGCACATGGATTTGTGACATATTGATGATCTTGGCCTACTTCTTGAAGGGTTGCTTCCATGGCCTGAAGCTAGGACTTAACATACAAAACTGTTACTGAATTTTCCCAAGTTCGAACATAGAGAAAAGGGAAGAAGTTTAAGTATCAACTTATTAGTGACCATCGGTAGGCAAGAAGAGGCTAAGATACCTATGTGAAGTGTTTTAAGTTTCTCAGTGGAGAAAAAATTACTATCATGGGCTGATTTTTGTCTTCATAATCCTGATGAGAGATAGGAAAGTGTTGCTGTAGTCTTATGAGGGGAAGCTCACACTTGCCAAAGTAATCTGCCATGGATACAGGATGATCCATGAATCAAACCAAGTAGAACCTAGTCAAATATCGCATAAAAAGTATTTTGCTGAAATTAAGGTATGAAAATCGAGTTCTTATGGATGCATGTTATGCAGTACAGTGACAGCCTTTAGAATAAAAAAAATATAGATTTATGTTATACTATGTTTTGAAACAAGAAAATACATATATTTACATTTCTGACTGCTGTTTAATTTAGTACATTAAATGCTCCAGTGGCATACTTTTTTTTAACTAAAAAAAAAAAAAAAAACGTAAAAGGAGAAGAAATACTATAAATGTAACACCATGCTCTTCTAGATATACCCTGACTTCAACAGTACTATTGATTTTAATCACGCGGTATTGTCGAAGTGTATAAAAACAAGTCGCTCACAAAACCCACCGAAAGGCAACAACCAATTCATTAGTGAAAAGCAAGAGAAATTTAAATTAATATTTTGCCTAGGAAACGTGTTATCTTCTCATTAAAATCTCATAATTGGCTTATACATTTATTCAGAATTTATGCTATTATTACAAAACTCAGTTTAACAAAGATTTGTACTAGAAGTATAGGCTTAATTTCTTAAAACAGCAGTTTATTTTACAAACAAGAAGTATTTCTGTGCTTGCAAACTTCTTAAGAATATAAATAAACTTCTCATGCATAAATGTGCTGAGTCAATTAGGAAAAATCATTTACTGCATGAATCTCTCAACTTTTATTAAAACACCAGGATATTATAAATATACCAGCAAAGGACTTCAAACTGCGATCAGTTGGAGTTCCCCATTTGTTTTTTTAGACTGATCACTCATCATGTTTTCTTTTATAGATATGCTGCCAGCAATTTACTGTAGCTTAAAAAAATCGTATGATTCACAATACATACCCTGGATATATATATACATATAGACAAACACATATCTTATTAACTAACTTGTTAATGAGATTTATAGAGGGTGGGATCCAAAATTACAAGATCACGGAGTCTCAAATGGCACATATAATGATGTTTGAGAAAGGCTTACCTCAGTTCCTGTGACACTCTTTGGAGATGCTAACCTGCATCTTTCTGCCCCTAAATCTGACTCCCTGTTTGTATTACAGAAGGAGGTCAGAGCTTGTGCTTTACCTGTATAACCTTGTAATGGGACATAATTTACCAGGACTGTCTCAGTGCAAAAAAGGTCTCGTATTATATACTTTTGGCTGAAGAGTTTTCCTTAAACATGTATTTAAAGGCCTGATCTTTAAATGCAGTGAAATCAGTCCAAAGTGTTATAAATTTATTGGACTTTGGAAGAGCAGTTAAGAGATTCTTATTAAGAAAAGCACACTTTTCTCTTAATATGAAACATTGCGTGTATTTAAGCAATAATCAGGAATGTGTACAATGGTAACATCAATGCAGTTGAAACTAGTAGGATTTAAGTGGGCATTATATAACAGGTTAGGCTGACTCTTTACGGCCTTATGTACCATGGCTACTCTGATATAGTTTTATTTCACACAGAATTAATTTTTCAGCAGATGGAAATGATAAGAGAAGGCAAAGGGCACAGCCTAACATTTGAGGAAGTAACCTTATGAAACTCTTGAACAACATTTGGAGTAAGATAAATATGCACTCTTTTCATTTTAATTAAAGCACATGATACTGTGATTTGCAATGGGGAGGTTTTAAAAAAGAATAGGAAGACATGGCAGATTGACAATATTATAACTGGTTATATACGTTCCTCATTTTTCATAAAATCTATATAATATTGATCTGCAACAATTTTGACTCACTATCTTCAGTTATGGTGTTGTAGATGACAGCAATACTCAAAAAAAAGGTTAAATAAGATTCTTCCAGCTGTTTCCTTATATACACAGGAACTAATGACATGAAAGTTTTATACTACTTTTGTCACTGCTAGTGACAAAAGTTTATACTATAGTATACTGCCATACTACTACATTCATACTGTTTGAATGGACACTAATAAAACTTCTTCAAGCTAAGTTCGATTTTCCTGTCCTGTTCAATTGTGAGGTGGAAAGAAAAGAACAGAAATGATGGATTTTAACAATATATACTTGAATATGCAAACACAAATATACATAACACAGATGTTATCATTTCTCAAAATATACCAGACTTCCAATCTCAGTCTTTCAGAAACAATTCAGCATTAATTAACTTATTTTATGAATATGTCAGTTGAGTCAATGAAACTATTATGTGTTTTTAGATAAACAGATACATAGCAGCAAGTAAGGGATTTGTGGGGAAAAAACAAATCCATTACCACACCTGTTTGTAATTTTCCTAGTATAAGTCAAAGCACAGTGAGTCAATACCCTGCTTAGTATAAAACAGCACAACTAACTGACACTGGCGTACTTTGTGTAATTTCGCTGACCTCAACTTAAGAAGGACATGGAGTTGTTGGAGCGGGTCCAGAGGAGGGCCATGAGCACCTCCTACATGAAGACAGGCTAAGAAAATTTGGGCTATTTAGTCTGGAGAAGAGAAGGCTGCATGAGGAACTCACAGCAGCCTTCCACTGTCTGAAGGGGACCTACAAGGATACTGGAGAGGGACTTTTCATCAGGGACAAGATGAAATCATAGAATCATAGAATAGTTCGGGTTGGAAAGGACCTTAAGATCATAAAGTTCCAACTCCCCCACCATGGGCAGGGACACCTCACCCTAAACCATATCACCCAAGGCCTCGTCCAACCTGGTCTTGAACACTGCCAGGGATGGAGCATTCACAACTTCCCTGGGCAACCCATTCCAGTGCCTCACCACCCTAACAGGAAAGAATTTCCTCCTTATATCCAATCTAAACTTCCCCTGTTTCAGTTTTAACCCATTACCCCTTGTCCTATCACTACAGTCCCTAATGAAGAGCTGCTCCCCAGCATCCCTATAAGCCCCCTTAAGATACTGGAAGACTCCTATAAGGTCTCCACGCAGCCTTCTCTTTGCCAGGCTGAACAGCCCCAACTTTCTCTGCCTACCTTCATACGGGAGGTGCTCCAGTCCTGTGATCATCCTCCTGGCCGTCCTCTGGACTTGTTTCAACAGTTCCATGTCCTTTTTATGTTGAAGACACCAGAACTGCACACAATACTCCAAATGAGGTCTCACAAGAGCAGAGTAGAGGGGCAGGATCACCTCCTTCGACCTGCTGGTCACGCTTCTTTTGATGCAGCCCAGGATATGGTTGGCTTTCTGGACTGTGAGCGCACACTGCCAGCTCATGTTCATTTTCTCATTGACCAGCACCACCAAGTCCTTCTCCTCAGGGCTGCTCTGAATCTCTTCTCTGCCCAACCTGTAGATGTCTGGGATTGATCCCACCCAGGTTTAGGACCTTGCACTTGTCATGGTTAAACTCATAAGGTTGGCATCAGCCCACCTCACAAGCGTGTCAAGGTCCCTCTGAATGGCATTCCTTGCCTCCAGCATATCAACCAAACCACACAGCTTGGTGTCATTAACAAACTTGTTGAGGATACACTGAATCCCACTGTCCATGTCACGGACAAAGATACTGAACAAGACGGGTCCCAGCACTGATCCCTGATGGACACTACTTGTTACTGGTCTCTAGCCGGACATTGAGCCACTGACCACAACACTTTGTGTGCAGCCATCCAGACAGTTCTTTATCCACCGAGTGGTCCATCCAGCAAATTGATGTCTCTCCAATTTAGAGACAAGGATGTTGTGTGGGACAGTGTCAAACGCTTTGCGCAAGTCCAGGTAGATGACATCAACTGCTCTACTGCTGTCCATCAGTTCCGTAGCCCCATCATAGAAGGCCACCAAATTGGTCAGGCAGGATTTCCCCTTAGTGAAGGGTGTCACCAAACACCTTGTTGATTTTCATGTGCCTTAGCATGCCTTCCAGGAGAATATGCTCGAAGATTTTGCCAGGCACAGAGGTGAGACTGACTGGTCTGTAATTCCCCGGGTCATCCATTTTCCCCTTCTTGAAAATGGGGGATATATTTGCCTCTTTCCAGTCACTGGGGACTTCACCTGACTGCCATGATTTCTCAAATATGATGGCCAATGGCTTAGCAGAGTCATTCACCAGCTCCTTCAGGACCCATGGATGGTTTTCATCAGGACCCATGTACTTGTGCACATTCAGATTTTTAAAATGGTCTTGAACCAGTTCCTCTCCTACAGTGGACCCAAGGTCTTCATTCTCACAAATGCATTTAAACTTAAACAGAGGAAGTTCTGGTTAGATATATGGAAGAAGTTCTTTACTGTGAGGGTCATGAGGCACTGGAACAGGCTGCCAAAGAAGTGGTAAATGCTCCATCCTTGTCAGTGTTCAAGCCCAGGTTGGACAGAGCATTGGGCAACCTGATCTAGAGTGAGGCGTCTCTGCCCACGGCACAATAATCCTAAAGTCCTTTCCAGACCTAAACATTTTATGATTCTATGAATGGAGCTATGCTGATTTACACTTACTGAGACAGCCTAATAGATATAAAGTTTAATTCTGAACCTTGACATATTCCTGCAACTCCCATCAGTCCAAATATGGAATTTTGTTAAATCAGTATTTTAAAGATCTGGTCAACTGGAGAAGAAATCTGAAAATACTGGTTTGGGTTTTTTTTTGGTTGTTTTTTTTTTTCTTGTCAGGTAACTAGTTGAAAAACCCCAGAAGTGAAATAAATTGTAAAAAAATCTCCTCAGGAAGAAAGTTTAGTTTGGGTAAAAAAAGAAAAACAGATGAAAATAAATAAGTAGATACTCAAGAATTATTACCCAACGATACTCCAAATATAGATTATGATGAATTTTGTTCTGTTCAACAAATAACATTTAAATACTCCATACAAAGGAGTAGACTACAGATGTTTCACCCTAAAATACTGATGCCATGAGGGTAATACAGTTCCTTGAGACATCAAAGTCCTTGGTTAAAGTTTGGTCTCTGCTGAATTTAGTGCATGGGCAGAAATTCATGCTTTTCTGTCTTCCTAGTACATGTTCGAACAATTATGATGTGAGACTGATTCCCTCTCTGCTAAGTGATGTACAAATTGGTCATGCAAAGTGGGTCATCATCAAGAATCAGAATTCACATTGTCTTGGGCAAGGGTGAGGGCACTCTATTGGAAGGCAGGAAGACGGCAAACTGCTCAAGCCAAGGCATCTCACAGCATTTATTTGGCAAGAGGACACAGCCTTTTATTTCTTTGGCTCCCATTACAATGCACAAACCCAAAACATTTCGAAACGCCGAAAGAGCTCATTTTGACATTTGCAAAATGAAGCATTTCAACATTGTGTTGAAACATTTTTGTCAGTTTTGTTTCTACTCAGACTATTTGTCAAATAGTTTCAGCCACTCTGAAACTTCTTTGTTCAGAAATAAATGTTACGGTGGTTTTTTTTCTTTCTTCCTTAACTTGGATTTTCAAATAGTTTATCCAGAGCTCTACTTATACTTGGTAACATTTTTGTTGTATTTTATTTCAAATGGTAATTTTAAGGCTTGTTGTAATTTGCAATGCAACATACTGCTTAGTGAGCCCCAATCCTGTGAATGTTTAGAAGACCCTATAGTATTTAGAAGGAAATAGGATATGTAACATTCTGCTATTTGAATAAGACAGGTTTTATTACTAAGCAGTGTCTATTTTCCACTGTTTCCAAGATATTTACATACACCTTTAATTTGCAGTCTATAAACAGCCAAGTCATTGCAATGCAATTAATAATTGCTAATCTACATGGAAATTATTCAGCAATTAAAGTTTTACAAGAAAGAGCAACAGCTAATTTTGTCCTTACAAGGCAATCTGTCTAATGACATGTTTCCTACACCTCAGAAGCAACAAACAGAAAAAACAGGTTGACACTGGTATCAGATAATTAAAATCCAAAACTTTTAATAATTCATTTCTATACTTCTTTTTATGTGTGATTTTTTTTTTAGGAACCTTAGTTGTACATCCAAATCAACAGTAGAAAGAAATGCTGAAATGAAATCCTGCATCATTGAGATCAGGTGAGAAGAGCAATACAAGTTTCAAGACATGTCTACAGTCTTTTAGTGTGTTTTCAGTCAGAGAACAGAGCAGAAAAGCCAGTATTTATCATTCACAGCAGAGAAATTACTTTAAAATGCATATTTTGGGTTATTAACCTGTTTTGAATGCACTGAAAAGCCAATGGTGGCAAAATATATCTTACAAACGTTACTGAAATCTTAAAAGAATGCTGTACAAAAAAAATGCCAGACTTGATATAAATGATGGCAGGGGAGTGTTTACATTCAGACTATGTAACTAGATAGATTGACAATTTAAAGCTAACCCTGGATTAAATGTTTTGCTGACTTTAATGGGAAAGTTTCAGCCATGCTCAAATATGAGCGCATACTTCCTAGATGTAGCTGACTCTTTGTTCGGCTCAACAAATGTAAATACTGTATCGTGTATTAACTGTAGGAGGAATTAGAGTGCATGTAATTTTGACTTATAAACAGAAACGGAATTTGTAGCTATTTAAAGACATAAACTATGTATAACTAAGAGAATTTTAAACAAAAGGCTTCTTTTTTTTAATGCAATAAACTACTTGTTTATAATCAGCCTATTCAATGTTACTATTATTAATCCTTTGAACTAGAGTTATTTTGCTGATTCTACAATTAATCATCATCACCTCTTTTCACTTATCAAAGGAAATAAAGCAGAAGTTTTTTCTACTGAATAATAACATCAACAACAACAACAATAATAATAAAGAGGTCTTCATTAAAGGTATGTTCTAAACCACAGTGAAATCAGGAGGCAATTTCAGAGTCTTCAAGGTACTAAGTATTTTAGATCCTAAATTAAACTAACAGTAGCAATTTCCCTATCATCCGCCCAAGCCTGAGTTCTTCACAGGGACAGAGAAAATACATTTAATCATATTTACCTTGTTAATAATTATGTATTTTATCAACTTTTTTATGTTCAACCAAATTCTATTATCTAACATGCAAGAAAATTTTGCAAATGAGAGCTGCACCTAGAAGTGTCCCTGCTCATGGCAGGAGGGTTGGAACTAGATGATTTTCAGGTCTTTTCCGACCCTAACTCTTCTATGATTCTAAGTCTACAAAAACTCAGACCCAGCTTACAGTCTACCGGCTTGGAGACCTCATGACTGCAAACGGCGAAGAAGGCATTGGTGTGCCTGAACTGTAAAGAAACATTTGTGTTTTTCAACATTATGTGATTACTCAGGAACTTCAGTGAGACACACAGTTTGAGCTGTCTGTGGGATCAGGATCTTATACCAGCACTGGTATTGTCTGCATAAATTCACAGTACGCTGATCTTCTAGAATCAATATCCAGAAGATGTGAATTATCACAGTACTGTGATACTGTGATACATTATTAATATAATATATAGATTATATCAGAGTATCTGATAATAAAATTAAATTTGCTAACAAAGAGACTCTCTTGCAACTTCTATCTTCAAAGAACAGGGCAAGAAAGTTCAAAGATAACAATGAGAAGAAACAAGCTGTTTCAAAATATCTGTGAAAACAACCTAAAGTTTGTTGGTTTTAAGCTTTTCATGTCATCATTCATTACTTTATTTGCTCACTCAAATCCTCAAGAGAGTAAGACCCAAACCCTGACAGAATCACTGCACAGAGCATTATTTTCAATTTTGCATGTGTTGCTCAAAGCCTTGCGCTCAGAGCCACAAGGATATGTCTTGTCTCAGAATCAAACATGATGCAGTCCCTTACATTGACTGGTAACTGTTAGTAATACGAGCAAAAGACATTGCACGGCTGGTGCCAAAGCTTTGAACAAAATTACTTCCTTTAACACACCGCCAGCTTAATTATGTGCTGGGGAACATAAAGCAGGTCAGACAATTTGTACTGGGACATCATAATTCCATCAGTATAATGCTGACATTGCTAAAGATTTATGAATGGAATGTCGTAATTATTTTTTTAGTAAACATATCAAGTTTCACTAATGGGGGGGCTGGAAGTACTAATTAGTTGTTTTGGGGGTTTTTTTGTCTTGTATCATATAAGATGAGGGGAGCAGAGGGTGGAGGGGAAGGATCTGTGACAAAAACAAGAACACACACAATTTATGTATGGCATGTAACTCAAGCAGATGTTCTTATATAAGAGCTGCAGGGATTAAAGCCTTTCTGCACATAATTCCATTTACTAACTACCTTCTGTCTGCACAAGCCTTCCAGTCTATGATGGACTTTTTGCTAAGTTACATCCCTTTAAAATCAAAACAGA